CCCCCCACACCTGCGGGCGTCCCCAACATTGACCACGCCGCTGCCACGGTCGGAGATGAGGTCCCGCTGCTCCTCGGCCATGGTTCCTCTGTTGGTACCCCGATGAACAATGAGCACCCCAGGTGCCGCCGCTGGAAATACCCCCCCCGGGGTCCCCCCCCTTCCCCACAACCCCCGGGGGGGCCCAAAATAAAACTACCCATTGGCTGCCAGCACCCGCATCACCTGTTGCCAGGCAGACCTCTGCTCGGAAGGTCTCCGATCCAGAAATGATGCTGGATCTGGCCAGGAACGTGGTGGCCACTCTCTGGGACATCGCGTCCCACCCCACCGCCATGGATAGGTCATGACCCCCCAGCCTGGTGACACCCGGTGCCATGGGCATGGGGGGCTGTGGTACCCCCTGGGCGGGGGGCAGGAGGTGGGATATGGGGTACAGGGTGTGAGGAGGTGGGATGGGGGAGGTAGGAGGCAACATGGGAAGAAGGAGGTGGGATGTAGAGGTGGGGTGCCATGGGGAGGTCTCCCCACACCAGGACCCTCCGTGGGGGCACGCCGTCAGGGTACACCCCTCCACACTCACCTTCACAGCCAGGGAAAAGCTGCACTTCAGCCAAAACTCCTCCTTGAGGGTCACTTTGGACCCCCCCCGGGTGGGGGTGCTTGGCCAGCACCCCTCAGGCTGAGGGGGTAATGATTAAAGGGCCACCAAGTGCCCCCCCCTTTCTTATGACACCCCCCTCGCCCTGCCTGCAGCAGCTTCAGGGGGGGCTGAACCCCCAAACCTGAGAAGCAGCCCCTCGAGGGGGGGTGAGCTCCAAAGCACCAGTAGGAGTGGGGCAGGGTGGGGGGCAGCGTGTGTTTCCCCCCCCCCCAGCCCCATTAGTGCTAGGTGGGTGAGAGCAGCCATCCACCCCCATAATGCTGATTTTAGGTGATTTTACACAAGGACCCGGGGCAGCCCAGGGGAGTAAGACATCCCCGACGCTGGCGCTGCGCCGTGGGGCTGGGCCTTGGCGGGCACCCCACATGGAGCCGGCTCCATCGGCAGCACCAGCACGGCCCCAAAAGTGAAACTGCGAGTGTGAAATTAAAAAAAAAAAAACAAACCAGAAAATCATTGCAGGCATCACGGGTTACCGGGCAGACCTCCCCGCCGGCGGCCCGAGGGACGGACATTGGCGGGGCGAGCACGGGCAGGTTTCTCCTGGGACTCTGTCCCTTCTCCTGGGTCCTTCCCACCGGCAGCGCGGGGGTAAGGAACAGTCTCAAAGCATTTCCAAGGAGCAATGCAGGGTTTGCCGGCAGATGCTGCTTCTTGGAGGAGAAGGAGGCTCTGGTGGAACCATGATCTGGCTTCCCAGGTGGGAAAGCGCAGCCCCCCCACGGGGAAAGGGCTTCAGAGCACGGTCCCATCCCTGGGCTCACACCAGCCAGCCGGGAGAGCCCCTGGGCACCCAGGGGTGCTCCAGGGTGTCCATCAGCTTTGCCACCGCGTCCCCAGCTCTTTCCCCCACCTGTTATTCCTCCCCGCAGGCTATTTTGGAGACAAATAACCAATCTGCTGCTTTTTAGGTGATGCTGCGTTTAGAAACCAGCTGAGGTGTTAAAAAAAACCAACAGAAGGGCAAAAAAAGAAGGAAAAAAAAAAAAAGACATAAACCCCTTCTATAAGTTTTTCAGCTCCCCCCTCACTCTCAGCCCACGGCAGCACTGGGGGACTTGGGGTACACAGGTTTTTCTCCCTCCTGGCTGAGGCCACAACCCCCCCCACCCTGGGGCCACGCTCCGGGCACATTCCGTGAGCAGCCTTGGCCCCGAGGGGAACTGAGGAAAACCTCAACAGGAACTCCCAGAGCGAAACCTCTGCAAACCACAAAGGCAGGCAATAAACTAGGGGGGG